AGGGAACTATAAGATGCCAATCACAATCTTGATTTATTTTTTAATCTCCTCATGCAACACTAGAAGATCAATTTTGATATCAACATTTGCGGATGTTCCTTATATCGTGGTTCTTGTAATAAAAATTGCTCATGTAGTATCAACATCTAGAATCAATTGCAAAGGTAACTTTGTCTCTCAGGTGAAAGTTGGAGCCAGATCTATATGATTCCAATATCTCCTCAAATTCCTTCTATGGCTCAATTTATGCTCCTCATGTTCTCCTCTATGGCTTTGTTTACATATTCCATGATGTAAGGTATTAAACCATTGATCGTAGGAGCAGGTTTTGGTGGCATTGTGATGGTTGGATCTTCTTGCTCTGATACCACTTGATGTAAGGAGAAAAATAAAAAATCAGAAAAAATAAAAGTAAAAATACAGCGTTGCCAAATTACACCATTTCTTAGGGTCAGCAAAGGAGTCCACACCAAAAGATCCCTTTACAAGATTCAAAAACAAACTCTTTTCTCATCCCCATTTTTTCCTGATCTAACAATTACATATTTATAGAAGAAAGAAACTTTTCCCTATAAAACCCCAATTAATATTAATAAAAAAAGATATAAACACCCCTAAAGAAGGTTAAAAGCCCAATATAATCCCACTCAAAAATCTAGAAAATAGTAAACTAGAATAATTAAAAAAATCTATTACCCAGAGACAGGGTATAGTCTTTCAACCCTTTATATGCCACATATTATGTAATGTATAAATAAAGCCATGGAGAACATGAACATCATAAATCGAGCCATGGAAGGAATTCAAGTAGAGATCGGCGAAATGAATCAGTGAATGCAGCGATTGGAAAACAACATTCTTCGAGAAGAGGATGCTCATAACCATGAAGATCCTACACCATATTTCACTATAAAGACGAATTGAGTCTAACAACCGACTCGAGGTGTCGATCCTGAATGTAATGATCAAATTATGATGCAAGAACCAAATTTCAGGAACCTCAACATGATCTTTGTATTAAGGTTGATCTCCCCAAGTTTTATGAGGAACTTGAAAACGAAATGAAGATTAAGGTCAAGATCCTAGTGTTCTACTTCAAGTTGCACACAAAGAATTTGATGAATTGGTTTATTGAAAACAAAAAACCAAGGCGAATGGTGGGACTACATCACTAATTACTTGACTAGCCTTTGAAGGATATGAGGAATTCTTGAAGCTTGAGGTCGAGTTTTTCTCAACCCAAGGAGAATGATTTAATAGCTTTTTTTAATTATTTTATTCTACTATTTTCTAGATTTTTAAGTTTGGGTTATATTGGGTTTTTAATCTTCTGTAGGGTATTGTCTTTTTTTTTGTTGTAGAGATTTGGGGGGAAAAATTGGAAGATTTGATATCAATTAGGACTTCATGAGGAGCAAGTTAGGTTTTAGGTTTTTTTCTTCTATAAATATCTAATTGTTAGATCAGAAAAGAAGAAAGAAGAGAAAAGAGTTTGTTTCTGGATCTTCTAGGGTGAACTCCCTTGCAGACCCTGAGAGGGGGTATATTCTCTCAACTATTTTTTTGATTTACTATTTTTCTCACTGCAATAGGGTGGCTCCAATAGGCGATAAGATGAGGAAAGATAAACTTAAGGCCGTTTGCAGCATATGACCTAATACAATACCGATTTGGTTCAAGCAGAAGGCTCTTAAGGGCAAAGGTAAGGGACAAAATAACGTGGATAGAAGTCATGAGAAAAAATATGGGGACTTATGGCCTGACTGAGGGTATGGCCCTTGATAGAGTAGAATGGCAGACAAGGAGAGTAGCAAACCCCCAATAATTGGGATAAGGCTCAGATGATGATGATAAACTAAAAAATGAATTAAGTTAGTTAATTTGGCTTTCTTAAATATAAATTAGGTTTGTTAAGGACCTATAAAGTAGAATAAAAACCTATAAAGTAGAATAGAGACCTATTGTTAACTTCATCAAAAAACAAAAAAAGTAGAATAAAGACCTATGAAGTCCGTTAAAGGTTTCAAAGTAAGATACAAACCTAAATAACACACAAAATCTAACATTTTTAAGGTGGCAGCCGGTCCGTACAACTTCACAATTACTCGTGAACCATGTCAAATGAAATTTGTCTTTTTATATAAGGAAAACGGTGTGCTTTTATGGATCTCAAGTCTTAGTTACCCAGCCTTTCACCATTGCCTTGCACATATCTTGTTTCGGCCAAGAGATCTCCGGAGCTTAGCAAGGCCTCTCACGTGCGTGCCTAACAATTAAGGTCTTATGACCATCCTCCCCTTGGCTATAGGTGAATGCCTTCTGATGTTTAAAGGCATGAGGACTGAGGACTGATAGTCCTTAAGCCAGCCTAAGAAATTCATTAAGGAAATAGTTTTCAACCGCATACTATTGGCTGGAAAATCAATTTTATGGAGACGGCTAGTGCAAGCCCTGATCTCAGGTATGTCCAATCACGTAGGGCCCTAGTTATTCCAAGGCATTTTTCATATAGACTTTCTTAGGGTATTAGGTCATTAGATACGATAAAAAAAGTCTTATCACAAATAAATACCTAAGGAAGATATTTATATTTAAAATACTATATGGAGATATGCCAACATATTCTTACTAAGGAGGGTGAAAGGATACATTTTAGTGGGGTGAACTTCAGTGCACCAACTACAGGGTTTTATTTTCTGCCGGGTTAACAGATTTCCAAATATGGCAATTAACATAAACATTCAAGCTCCAGCAATTTAGCCAATTATAATTTAATACGTCCATGCTAAAATATATAGTCATGATTTGAATGAACTGAAAAAGAAATCGCCAATGCCTCAAAGCCAAAGATCAATAAAGTGCTCCCAGTCACAGAATTTCCAAAAATATCTCAATTCTTGTATTTCCAAACTTATTCTTGAATTGTTTTTGTTGTTATAAGCACCATAGGAAATTGAAAGTGCAAAAACATCATTAGAGTTATATCTTAGCCATCTTTGATTCAATTTTATCCAGATTATCCACTCTTGAGTTTGTTCCATTCTCATACCAGTCCTTGCAAGACTGCAGTACCGTTCCCTTGGACCGGCAGTTGCCTCGCATGGCACTACTTTCCTTGAAAATGTGTTCTTCATCATTAACATAGGGCTCAGGGTGAAGCATGAAAAACAACAAGCAACAGCTACTCCCTAAGTGTGTATCTCATAGTTCAGGTTTATATGATAACTAGCTAATGGCACATGCCTTGCATGATGTTCCAACTGAGAAATCAAATGAAAAATGGTTTTTAGATAATTAGATTAACTAAAATTAATGCATTTCTTTTTAATAAGTTTTAAGTCATTCAATATTGTTTCTACATCTATTTTTATTTCTATTTATGTTTATTTATTTTAAAATTTAATTATGTTTCTTATATCCTTATTATTAAAGATTTCTCCCCTTATTATTACAGATTTCTTTATACTCCTATTTATTATATTTTGATATTTTCCCGAAACAAAATTGGATAACAAAGAGTGAAACTTTTAAGGAGGAATGGATATGAATTTTTGGGTAAACTGTGTCGTTAGATTTAAATAACAAAGGAAGAGATTTTTTGGGGAAATTGATTATGTGAGAGTTTAGAGAAGGAGAGAGAGAGATTTTAGGAATATAAGAGGGAAAAAAGTCACGAAAAGGAATTCAAAAGTGGCACTCCTATTTGTTCTCCCTTGTATACGCAGGTGTGTATGTGATGAACCATGTTTAGTCCCAAAGGTCAGATTGGTGAAGGTTTCTGACTGGTTGACCTGAGTAGGATCTTGAGGCAGATCACAGATCAATCAGCTGAGCTTTAAACCAAGTTAAAACTTAGTTTAGTTTTGTTTTTTTTCCTCAATGAACTTCCTTTTTTCAAAGACTCCCCACGGCATTGCTAGACTTCAAAGGGTCGACTCAACTTGAATCTCCAGCCGAGCGTAAATTTTTTAGCTTGAAAATTATCAAAACTCATTTTTACACACCCAGGCAGAACCTATTGTGGTTACTTGAAATATGCAGAGTAGACATAAGAGTCTAGGATTCATGCTCAAGGGAATTGATGTATTGTATTGCTTATTGATCTTTGATTAGAAAATATATATACCTACTGTGGAAACAATATTTCACAATTTACTCAAAAAACTAGCACAGTAGTTTGATTTTAGCAACAGCAGATAAAACCCATGCTTGCGTTGTACCAAAGCAAATCGCTGAGATCCATTGTAAGAGATTAAGAAATCTACCCACATTCATTCATTGGAGAATGATGTTTAGGTAACAGTCAAAGAAAAAACAGCGACATTTAGGTTCCATATGTATAATACAAAGTTACAAACTGAATCATATCTGGAGAACAAGAATATGACCTATGTATATCGAAGTGACAGGTGTGTTACTGCCAATGAATAAGTGGAAGACGATGGGTCAACAAGGTGTTACACAAATCTGGCTGTAATAACTGCATCATGAAACTTCTCAGCCTAGACATGAGTAGACTTCAAATGATGTATATTAACATCTTAATATAACAATACAAAGAAGAAAGCTAATAAAAGATTAGGAGGAAGCTGCATGTAAAGGGCTCTGTGAGGATCACCTCAAAGGAACTTGTCTTAATGTCCATCTAACATTAGACCACTTTCATTGGAGCAAAAGTCACCACATAATTCATTGCATACAACACACAGTGTAACAAGGAGGCCTAGAATCACATTTTTTTTGTCCCATAAGACATGCCACTAGCTTTTTAAGTTCATTTGCTCCATTTAGAGACAGAGAAATCATAGATATGTACCTTCAAATCTTTGATTATATATATAAAAGATCTTCACTATAAGCATAAGATAATATATCTCATATCCAATCAATCATAAAAAAGAACCAGTTTCCATGCATTCACATAAGCATAGTAAATAAAACACCAGCCACAATTATTTGATTAAACTACTTTTCGATATTAGAGAGAGAGAGAAACCAACCTTATCAAGTCAGACCGATCTCTGCCAAAATTCGAGAACCCCTTAGCCAACACTGTGAGACTCTTCTCATCACAAGGGGAATCCCCATTGGACGAATTAGGCGAGAAACACATCTCGCTCGCGAACCCACTGTCGCAAAAGTAATTCCCTTGAACCAGAGAGTCTACGAAAGCAATCCACTCTGGCCATGGATGCGATACCTCAATTACCTCTCCACTCGTCGAATTCTCTTCTTCTTCTTTAGAGGAAGTGAAAGTGTGATTTGGGTCTCTTTTAATCAGGGTTTTTGGTGGGTTTGCATTCCTTGTTCTCTTGATTAGGGCATCGTCAAGCTCTTTCACTATGTTGCCAAGCCTGCTACCAAGAACACCTAAGCGTGCGATAGTTTTATCTGCTTCTTTGGTGTCGTTAACAATTGTAGGAAATGAGAGAGAAGAAAAGGAAGGGGATTTCAGTCTGAAAAATATGGATTTGCTTCTTTCGGGAAGAGAGAGGGAGAGAGAGAGCATTTTGAGTAGAGAGCCGAATAAGGACATGGGAGAAGGTGAATGTGGAGCTTCTGGTCAGCGTAGGCGCAGTCATGGCAGCCTACCAGTCCCTCGGCAACTAGGTTACAGAGAGGGGTAAGAATCAGAGAGTGAGAATACAAGAGAGATAGAGAGAGGCCTCATTAAAAGGCGGCCATCCATAGTTCCATACCTCTCCTGAAGGGGCAACTATTAGTTTCCGGGCAACAAGATTGTTAAAAAATGGAAGGAAAAAAAACTAAAAAACAAAGTTCACTTCACCAACAAAACAAAAATAGAAAATCGAGAGAATAAATTTAAAGGAAAAAGTTTATATAAGGTTTCATCTTTAAAATATAGAATTACAGATGCACTTCAAAAATCCATCACAAATGGTTATTTTAATATTGAAAAAACCTCTAATTGATCATCTCAACATCACCATTAATGAATATATATAAAAAAAGATTTTGAATCCGAAAATAGTGCATCTTACAATACATTATCTAGACTATCCATTTTCAAGATTTTTATATATTTATAGATATACTTGATTTTAACAATTTTTAGAGTTTTAAATTTTATAATTAAATATAAAAATAGATTTTGAGATAATCCTAGTAATATTTTTCACCAAAATTACATGTTATGATACAATTTGGAGGTACACCTTAATTGGATTGCCTAAGGTTGCAACCTTAGCGAAACCACACCAAAATTTAAAAAACTTAGAGAAATTTGTTCTAATATCTCTTATAATATTGAGAGCCAAAAAATTAGCACTTTCTCTTGGGTTGATAGTCCATGAAAATGGAGAGATCGAAGAAGATGTCCCATATAGAATTACAACTAGTTGGGCGGAGTGGAGCAGTACAACTAGAGTTTTATGTGATCGTTGCATACTAATGGAGTTGAATGGGAAGTTCTATAAGACAGTTGTGAAATCATCATTATTTTATAGGGCGAAATGTTGGGTGGTCAAGAAATAAGAATTCTATGGGATAAGTGTAGTTGAGATGACGATGTTGAGATTAATGAGTGACAAGACAACAAGGGATAAAAATCAAAATGATTACATCCATGAGAACTTAAGTATGGCTCTAATAGGTAATAAGATGAGAGAAATTAGACTTAAGAGGGCTAGGTATGTATAGTGCAGACTCAGTATAATACATATTAGGATGTGTGAGTTGGTTCAAGTAGAATAACTCAAAAAGATAAGAAGTATGCCCAAAAGGACATGATTGAAACTATTGAGAAAAGATTTGAAGACTTATGGTCTCATTTGAGAGTATATCTCTTAAAAGAGTAGAATGATGAATTAGGATTCATGTAGTTGACTCCAAATAATTGAGAAAGTCTATGATGATGATGATCTCTTATAATATCAGAAGATAAAGATAGGAGTAGTGAGAAAAAAATATAGTAATTTTTGATCTTACTAAAGGTATAGCCCTGATTCGAACCTAAGCTCAAACAAAATTTTATACCATTTTCTCAAGCCTATTTTTAGAATGGGCTTTGACAGTAGTACTGGCGAGCTTTATGATGAAATTTCGGACTTCATTCCCACCAAAGGAGCCCAAATTCCCACTTACTTACCTTTTTGATACATGTACAGGCCTCATTGTCACTAGTGTTGAAACAAGTCTAGGAGTGGGAAGTGCTTCACGCTAACGTTTTTTACTATTTATTATTTTGGGAGAGGGGTTGGAGTCGTGGTGGTAGTACCCTACACCTTCGTCACCATGTTATGGTTTCCATTCCCACTATTAACCCCTAGGTAAGGCACGTCTTCCCCACTGAATAAACTAAAAAAAAAAGAAAACAAACTTAATAGAGAAAAATAGAGGACAATGATTGCTGTAGCCGACCACAAATAATTGGAATAAGATTTGGATAGTAATAATGACTCTTATAATATCAAAACCTTACCTTCAAAATATTTTTTGAGATAAATCTTAAGCCCTACATATTTTATGTCTTTTATGCATATACATTTTTTTGTATTTTTTTTTTTTAGAACCTTAAGCATTCGAGACGTGGTATATATCCAATCATTGTAAATCCATCTTAAAGATAGTCTGCAGTTGAGGTCTATCTTAAGAGAAAGGAAAAAATCAATAGTTAAAATTTTTTTTAAAAAAATCATCGTTTTAGTTTTAACTTTTTGTTTTTATATATATATATATATATAATATGTTCATTTTAGAGATTGTATATACATAATGTCCATTTTAGAGATTGTATATACATAAAACGTTAGGTCCAAAATCTATCTAAAAAATAGGTCATGAATAGTGGACTAGCTGCATATGAGTCCTAGAACTCATAAAAACTATGTCCTTAATACCTCTAGTGTGAAATTCCAAGTTTAGAACCCGGGTATTTATTTATTTTTGGTTTTAGTTGAAAGATTGTGAAGCTCTAAAAAAAAGAATTTGTTGTTCATAGAAATTGCAAGTTTTTTAAATGGCAATTAAAAACAATACAAAGTTTTTTTTCTATTCTTATCAAGTCTTTTGGGTGTTACACAATTATTTTATTTTAGCCCCCACTATGGATTTGTATTACTCTGTCACAAATCCCTCGTCTCACCGAATGGTCTCTCCCTCCTCCCTCCTCCCCTTTTACCTCTCCTAATCTCTTTTCTCTCTCTGCACATTTTGGTTTGGTGTATTAAGCTTACCCTCACTCCAAATGTAAGGTTTCCGTTGATTCTTATGAACCCTACTTCTGTGAGAACTTGTCCATCTCTGTAAATTTGGGGTTTGTGTTATTTTTTATGAACATTGGGGTTCTCTCACTCTCTCTCTTTCTCCACAAAAAAAAAGCCATCAAATCAAGCAAGAAATAGAGATAAATCCAAATCCAAAATGGGTACCTCTTGTTTTGTTACGGTGACTACAGATTTTTGCTTCAAATCTCCAACCCCATTATTTGAACTCTCAATTTTCTTCTTATTCACAGTCAAATTTCCCTTATTCAATTTAGGGCAAGCTTTCTATACTTCCTGTACAATATAAAACTTATATACTTCCCCTTATCCAACCGAATATTCTGAATGAAGGGCTAAGATTGCCCCAATCACAATGTCATGTCTCTACAACATTTTATTTTTTATTTTTTATTTTTTTTAATGAACTATTTTGACACTAAATTTTGAACATCCATTCCTCTATTAAACTTGCACTAGTGAAAAATATAAAAAAATATAGTTTCAATAAAATAAAATGACCAAAATACCCCTAAAATTTTCAAGGGGTATTTTGGTCATTATATTTTATTGAAAAATTATTTTTAATATTTTTTATAGGTGCGCCCCAATGAGAAGATGACATATACAAATTTCATATTCATACAATTTGTATAAAAAAAAATAAAATAAAATACTTTAAGACGTCGGATCTAAGATCAAATGGTGAGTAGATCTCTTGATCAAAATTGGACGGCTGGATGGTAGGAGAAAGATAGAACTTATATGTTGTTAGGGAAGTATGGAAACCTTTCCCTTTAATTTATTGGTAGAAAAAGAACCATCTTTTACTGGATTTATGAGCTTCACCTTTGATGAAGCATTTCCCTTGCTTTTATGCAGCCATGACCCACAAATCTCATCCCAAATCCCTATTATCTCTCACTACAACTTTGAGAGAAAGTGGATCCTAGAGAGAGAAAGTATTGGGCTCAAATCAAAGATGGAACTAGGCCTCACCATGACCACCTTCCTCTCCTTCCTTTCACAGGAGACAAGAGAGAGAGGACTTGTAATTGGGGATCAGATATGGTAACCTTGGCTCCAACTCCTTGAGAAGTTTAGAGAGAGAGAAAGAGAGTTATGTAATTGGTAAATAGCGAGAAAGCTGGGTGTGGGGTTTACACGGGGTGAGAGAAGGCCGCACTTTCA